CTGGCCTCGGGTTGTATCATGTTTGCGATCCTCAAAGATGGAACCATGCAGTGTGTGGCGTTGCTTCTGGCTTCTTTTGCTCACTGTGACCCTCGTGAAATCATCCCTGCTGTTGGGAGTTGCAGCGATGTCCTCATTTTAGCTGTCCTGTGTTTTGTGATATGAAAGGACCACATTCTAGCATTTCCTCTGCATCCCCTCCCTTCAAGCCCTGCTGCCTCCCGCTGCCCTGGTGCAGCATCTCTCCCCGATGGCCTCTTTTCCTGGGCCTCAGCTCCCTGTGTCCTCGCCAGCCCTCCTTCCCTCTGGTGCTGTCCCACACCCCAGGTGACTGACCAGTCCCCAGCCCAGGATGGCGGGCCTCACTTCTTGTGTGTGTGTGTGCGTGTGTGTGTGTGTGTGTGTGTGTGTGTTTATTGGTACATTCTAGGTATATAGTACAGTTACATTCATTACTGGGATCTTGGTAAAATCTCCCTCTTTTTTTTTTGGTACTGGGGATCAAACTCTGATCCTTGTGCTTGCGAGGCAGATGCTGGAACCACTGAGCTAAATCCCCAGCCCCAGCTAAATCCCCAGCCCCTCACTTCTTGATTCTGAACAGTTATAGTGGTTCTGAAACAACATGCGTGCAGTGGAAGAAACCAGACTTCAGGCTTGGAGGTTGGATTTTTCCAGGGGCCGGCGGGGCAGGGGTGACCAGGGCTCCCAGCACCCAGCCCAGGAGGGGTGACTGGTGGCCCTGCAGTGCTGCACTGTGAGCCTGAGGGGCAGGTCGGGTCACTCTGTGTGCTTCTGACGGATTGTGTGTTCAGGATCCTGACCCTCAGAACCCAGGGCAGCCGTTCACACTCATGGCTTCCCCTTGAGCGCCAGCAGCTGCCTGGCCAGGCGTTTAGGGCATGTTTTATTTTAAAGGGCCCTCTGGGAGCACCTGGCCCTGTCCCCACTCCCCCCACAGTTCCCTGCTCAGACTGCAGGCGAGGCTGTCCCTGCTGGGCTGGGGCTTTGCTTGGCTGGTCCCGCCGGCCCCTGAGGCCGTTCCTCAGTCCCCTGCTGCCAAGGACCCTGGAGTGGGAAGTGTGACGTGGCCTTTGGATCGAACTAGCTGCCAGGTTTAATCAGGGCAACGGCAGACTGCGGAAAGGAGCTTGGGCTGGTGTGGGCTCTGCCGGGAGCCGGGTCCCCAGGGGGCAGCGTTGCCTGTGACCCTGAGCAACAATACCAGGTCTGCACTCTGGTTTCCAGCTCCCTCTGCCTTCTCCCTGGGGCATTCTGGCAGAGCACAGGGGCCTCTCCCTGTGCACTTGGGTGTCTGCAGTCGCCCGGGACCTTCCTGACCCCAGCGTCCCACACACCGTGGGTCCCGTGTCCTCCGCCCAGCTCCCTGCCTGCCACAGCTTGCACGGAGGAAGCCTGCGTGGCTCTGTTCATCGGCTGCTGGGGACTCGGGCTGCCCCAGCTTCCCCTGCCAACCCTGGAACTGTCATCCACCCAGCGCAGAAGCCACCTCCTTGGAATCCAGTGGTGGAGGGGATGAACGCACAGCCCTGCTCCACACAGACACAGCTCTGAGTGTGTGGCCGGCCTGCCGGGAGCCCCTGCTCAGAAGTGTGTGTCTGCCAGTTGCATTATTATTGTTGGAATGGTGTCCAGACCGTGCTAAAGGACAGGCCCTGTCTGGACCGAGGCTCGGCTTCCTGCTCCTGCCCCTCCCGTGTGTGGCCCGGGTAGGAGCAGTGGGTGTCGCTGGCTGAGCCAGGACACAGGACGGGCTGGGATTTCTGCTGGACAACAGTGCTGAGAGCATTTCACAGAAGGTCTGAGAGGACTGGAAAGACGAGAAGAAAAACAAGGCTCTCAGAGAAAGGTGACAACAAAAGAGACGTCAGGGAAGCCGGAGAGGGGGTGGTGCCCTGGGCACATGTGCAGCTCCCATCCGGAAAAGGAAGGGCGCTACACCCATGTGGGGTGATCGAAAATATGGTGACTGTTTCTGCTAACAAAAGACTACAGTAAGAGATGCATTGCTGTTTGCCCCTCTCGGAGTCCTTTGCTCGGCTTTAGACTCCCTCATCCCATCTCCTTGCGACCTTCTCCAGCAGCTCTGGGGTCCTCTTCCCTCAGGTCTTTCGTTGCGCTGTCCTGGCTGCCTTGGTGTCCTGGATTGATTCAAATGGTTGCTTCACCGCGACTCCGGGGAAGAGCCGGCAGTCGGTGGCGCCAGAAGGGGGGACTGAGGTGGTGAGGACAGCACTGGGCTTCTCCACGCTTGTGATCAGACCCTTCAAGGTGTTCAGGAGGAGGACTCGGAGCTGCTGCAGAGAGGGGCAGCAATGGTGGAGTAAGTGTCTGAATCGAGCGGAAGTATTGTGAGGGGATTCACGGCAGTCCGCGTGTCTCACCGTGATGCCTTTAGAAAATGTAAACACATGCTGCACGTTTGGTCTCACCGACACCCCGGCTGCTTTCTCAGCTTCGAAGCTCACTGTTCATTGAGAGGTCTGCAGGGACACGGGTGGTGCAAAAGCACTCAGGGAGGGTCCCCCACACTTACTGTTCCTCCCTGGCCTCCCTTAGGCCGTGCCCTCGTGGGGCAGGTGGCTGCCTGCGGGCTGTGGGGCCCCGGTCCTCACCTGGATTAGGAAAGTTATGGGCAGCTGCCACCACCGCCCCTGCCCCAGCACGCGGCCTGGGGACACAGGTGCTACCGCCTTCCCAGCGCTGGCTCTTTCACTGGGCGTCTCTCACCTGCGGTCCAGGCAGGGAGGCCCCTGAGCAAATCTCCTGACCAGTGAGAACTGGTGGGGGCCGAGGGGCGTAGGGGCTGCCCCAGGCTTGAGTTTTGTCTGAAGCAAGGTCTAATCCCTGCCTTGCAAGCCGCGCCCCAGGCCTGGATGGGAAAGTCCCTGACTGATTCCACACAGGAAGCAGCAGCAAATGAGTCTCTTACTGTCTGCTCCCTTTCCTGGGGACCACGATGAGAGGCAGTCACACACCCTGAGGTGTGCACATGGCCCTGGTCCTTCATCTTCTCCGGAGCAGGAGAGGCCAAAACGGACCCTGTCAGGGCCCCCATGGTCCACACACCTGCCGTGATGTCATCTTTACCCTGGGAAAGCTGGGTCCACGCATGTGGCTGAGACCCCAGCCTGTCCGCCCCCAGCCCCGGTCCTTCCTCCGTTAGCTCTGGAGCTGCAGGGGGCAGGTGTGGGACCCAGGCCGCCGTCCTTGGCTTGGCCCTGGGTGGACTGCCTTCACCTCGGGGATGGCGGCTCCTGGCCGCAGAGGCGACCCTGAAATTCCTGGCATCGCTCTGATGGTGTGAAGGACATCAGTTCTGGACGCGATCCGAGTCCGGGAGGAGAGTCCCAGGTGCGAGGCAGGCCTGCAGACTCACTCTCTCCTGGTGAGGATCCGCTTCTGGGTCCTTCCAGTCTCTGTCAGGGTCTAGTTCGTGGCAGGCACTGCGCCGTGAACTGAGGGTACTGTAGCGAACAAAATTAGACGGGTCTCTGTCCTCTCCATGTTCAGTTTGTGTTGCTTTCGTGGTGAAAAATACTACAGAAGTAGCAAAGGGTGGTGCCTGGTAAGTGGTCGTCTCAGGGAGCCTTGCTTATCGGTGCTGTCTGCCAAGAACTGTGAATGCTTTGCCGAATCCCCTGTTAGGAACAGACTGGGCGTCCGGTCCCACAAAGCTGAGGCCGCCTTGACGGCCACCTGGGGGAAGCTGAGTCAGGCTGAGCGACTTCGATGCAGGCTCCAATGAGGACCGTGGAGTTCTGTACGGGTCCTGCTGCCGAGGATGCGCTCTTCCCCTGCGTGTCGGAGGGCGGGTACCGGGCACGGGCGTGGCGTGCAGTTGTCTCTCCTCAGCGCGGGCTTCTTGGGACCTCTAGAGAAAATCCGTGGTGCTGTGCTTCTTCTTCCGTCCCGGCTCCTGCCGGCGCTGTGTGTGACGAGGACACCGTGGTGACTCTGGAACAGTGCCGGAGCCTCTGCTCTGACCACTTCCAAGGGAAGGCGCCACTCAGCTGGTGCTGCACTGGCCAGGTCTCCTGCGGGGTCCTGGGGTGTGGACCTGCCTGTGGCTGGGGGCCCCATGAACGCTGAAGGGACACCAGGCTCCGGCCTGCCGTCCACCGCAGTGCAGCTTCAGAATTGCTGCTGCCGTTGCTGTTGAGAGGCCAGGTCGGTGTTGTTTCAGAATAAGTACTTTGATACCAGGTCGGTGTGTCTGACTCACAGGGATTTTCTTTTTCTTTTATCTTTTGCAGCACGAGGGATCGAACCCTGGGCCCTGTGCATGCTTGGCCAGCGCAGTATTCCTGCCCTGCAGCCCGGCCTCTGCTGGTGAAATGAGTGACAATAGCTAGAATTGAGGTGTCAGTGTCCCCTGCTCTGTCAGAGCTTGATGAGGTTTCTAGAATGTGAGATTTTTAGTTTTTACTTTTTTTTGGGGGAACAGGGTCTTTCCATGTAGTTCAGGCTGGCCTCGAACGCACTGTGAAGCCCAGGCTGTCCCGAGGTGATTCTCCTGCCTCAGCCTCCCCAATACTGGGATTACAGTCATTCACCACCATGCTTGGGAAGATTCTTAGTTCTTAAAACTGGTCCATCCTGGGCAAACCAGAAGCCTATCATCTTACTAATGCTAAGTGACGCGTTTAATTCTCAAAAAATCTAAGCATTAGATATTATTTCCTTACTTTTCGGCGAGAGGCTGAGGCTCAGCAGACATGCTGCACTCCAGCCAGGTGTGTGGCACAGAACTGTGCTCTGCCTGGCACACTGAGCAGGTGTGTAGCCCGTGCCACTGCCTTTGGGACCCCAGGCAAGTGTGTGCTCTCTCGGGTGGCTGGGTGAAGTCTTTGACTCAGCTCAGCTCGGGCTTAGAGATGAAAGGTCATCCAGCTACTGAATTTTTGTATAGCATGTGTGTGTGCATGCATGAGTGTGTATGTGTGCTTTACGTACCGAGCGCTGAACCCAGGGCCTGTGCAGTGAGTTACATCTCCAGCCCTCTTTTATTTTTAAGCTTTGAGACAGGGTCTCATCAAGTCGCCGAGTTGCCCGAGCTGGCCTGGCGCTTCTGTCCTCCTCTCTCTGCCCCCCGGAGTGCTGGGATTGCAGGCATGCATCACCCCGCCAAGCTTCTCGCCTCACTTATTAAGCTCAAAAATCGACTGAAATAGAGCATAGTTTTCTGTGTAACTTTTAACAGTCTCTGGTGAAATCTTGCCAACCACCGTTTCTGAAGAAAAGCCTCTTGCAGTTCAGGAAGTTTACATTTCCAACCCAGAAATCTCTCACCTTCCACCAATTTGAGGTTGACATCTGCTGTCCTTCTGGCTCTCTTCAAATGTGGCCTCTGTCTGCCTGCTGGCCAGGCCTCCAGGCTGCGCAGTGACCACACCCTGACGGAAGGCAGCAGAGCCGCCTCCACGCGGCTGCGTCTTTCCTCGCACTCGGCCTCTTTCCTCCCTTCCTTTCCTGCTCGAGGCGTGCGTGTGCGTGCGTGCGTGTGCGTGCACCGTCCCTGCCTTCTCTGTGCCCCTCAGAGTGCAAGAGTGGCTGCTGGGTCTCAGGCCAGTGCCGGGAGCTGGGCGCACTGGGAGAGAAACAGTGCCCGCCACACAGACAGGGAGAGGAGGCGTCCGGCTGTCCTCGAAGGCCCCTCACGGACACAGCGCCTCAGGTCAGGCTCCCTGGAAGCAGAGCCCAGGACCTGATGGGGGTCGGGGTCCTGTTGGTCGGCAGGCAGTGAGCTGTGGTACCGCCTCTGGGTCTGGAACCGGAGGTGCTGTAGATCTGTGTCCTGCGTCCCCAACACATGGCGGGTGGCAAGGCTGGCTGTGTTCAGGGACCGGGTCCTAGGAAAAGTAGACGCCTGTCCACACGGGACGACACCCACACACTCGGAGCCCACAGTCGCCGAGAGGAGAGGATACTGCACCCACCGCAGTGCAGTTGGTTTCTCTCGGGGGCTGGGGTGGGTAGGCAGTAGCGCTGCAGAGACTACAATTTAGTCATTGCTTCAGTGTTTACAATTATTTCTAGGGTTATTATCGGTGCACCTTCATCTCGACGTGGATAGTCACGCTTGTTAAGCTTTTCATCTCATTTTTATTTAGCAACAGGCAATATGCCAAGCACACCCTTCTAAATCCCTGCCATCACCTCACGAGGTAGCTACTCCTCCCCATTTTACAGACGAAGAAAGTGGGGCGTAGCGAGGTTGGAGAAACCCCCCTGAAGTGAGATTCCGCAGCCAGAGTTTGAGCCAGTTGGACCCCAACCCTTAGCCTCTGTGCCAATGGCAGCAGTGGACACTCGGCACGGCCCTTTGGTGGACATTAGTGGTTCATTCCCCGACAGGGCACGGGCCTGACGCCAGACTCTGTGCCAGGTGGGTATCAGAGGTGCAGTGCAGGAGCCCTCGGGAATAGCTGCGCCCGGGCAGTGACATTCATACAAGCTCTCGCAGTGTCTGTGTTTTCATGTACCTGTTAAAAAGAAATTTAATTTTAGAAAACCTCAGACGAGGAGCTTGTGGGCACTGCTCCTGTGGGCCGTCGTTCCGCCTGCCTGTTTAGAGCAAGCTCAGGACGTAAATGAGGGCGTGAGGACTTTCGGTTGTTTCCCAGTAACTCAATTCGCCATCTCAACTTTCCCACAGGCAGCAAGAGATGCAAAGCGGATGTCCGCCAACGAAGTCACCATCAGTGCGCCGGACGGCCTCCGGAGGATGGACAGAAGTAACAGAATCACAAAGAGCTGCATCAACTAGCAGAGTCCTGGGTAGGAGCAGGACTCTGGGGTCTCTTTTCAGTCCTGGATGCCACGGAGGAACCTTGAAGTGGCTGCCGCTTGCAGGGCACGGACACCTCTGGGCTCCTGAGTGCTGGCCTGACCTCGGCCCCCGCCGCCCTAGGATGGTGAATGGGCTGGACGGCCCCACCGTGCCGTGATGGCCAGGGCACCGTGGATCGCCCTTTGCAGCCCTGTCCAAGGTTGGGGCGGACAGGGTGAGCCGCAGCCCAGGGCACTTTATGAGAGAGAAGGGGCGGGGTGCATCTCCCTGCCAGGAGGGCCACGCGCTGCGCCAGGTGCTCTGGGCAGGCACTTCCTCCCCTCCCTTCCCTTTTCTCCCTCCTGTCCTCCGTCCTTCCCTCCCTCCCTCCCTCCTTCCTATCAATCCTGCCATTGCCCATCTTGCAGGTCTCACTGAAAAGCTGGCCTACCCAGCTCTAACCCAGATGTTCATGCACACCGAGGCCCGGGCAAGTCCTGTGGTCTCCTCTCCTTAGCTCAGAGCCGGCAGAGCCCACACCCCGGGCTCCAGCTCCGCCAGCGCTGCCCGGAGGGTCTCGGGGTGTCTGTGTGCCACGTCACGCCCTCGTCTCCTGGTCTCCATCCTTGGGCCAACGCGTCCCAGCTGGGGCACCCAGGGCCCAGCCGGAACTTTCTGCTCCCCACGGCTCCTCCCAGGGCCTGTCCTCAGGGGTCCTTTGCAGCTGTGATCAGAGACAGCCAGGAGGACCTCGTGGGAGGGAGGTCACAGGGATGTGGGCACCACAGGCTTCCCTGGCCCCTGCCCACAGCCCTGGCATGGCGTCATCTAGATGTCTGCAGAGGAATCCGGCGGGAGAGCCAGCGCCTGGCTGAGGGATTGCATGTGGAGCCGTCGCCCACCAGGTGCTGACACGTGAGGTGGTGTTGTGATAAGAATCATTTTCTAACATTTAAAAAAACCACATTTGCTGGACATTTTCCTCCACACAATGTAGCACGAGTCCTGAAGGACTGTTAATGCGCCTGGGATGGAGGCAGGTAGGGTCAGCTGCGTGTAGCAGATGCAGGCAGCGGCCTGTAACATAGGCTGGACCTCTGCTCTGTGGTTTCTCCTCAGTAAACAGATGGCCCGCCGTGGCAGCTGCTGGGTGTGGCGGTCAATGCCATGTCCCCAAAGGCAGCGCGCAGGACAGGCAGCGTGCGTTGGGCTGCTCTTCACAGCTGTTCTCTCTGGGCAGCTGCGTGTCACACCACAGGTAGGGGCATCCAGACCACAGGACGAGCCCCGCAGCACACACAACTGGATTTCCTGGCTTCTCCATCTGATTCCTTGTGAAAGGGCTTACAGGGAACTTCCTGTTCTCCACGTTTTTAAAATAAAAGCCTGTGACTTCTGGGTGCCGGTGGTGTTACTCAGGGGAGCCCACACGCAGGATGCCAAGCTCGCTCCTGCGGGCTTGAGGGCTGGTCCTCCCGGCAGCCAGGGTGGCGGGTTTGAATCTTGGTGCCCTCAGCTGCGGCTGTGCTGGCTCCTCCTGACAGCGGAGCTCTGGACCGCAGTGTGGGAAGTCAGCACCATCGCTCCTGTGGGAGGAGGGTGAGGTGGCCAGAAGTCACTGTCGCTGAACATTCTCTGGCTTTTTTTCACATGTGTTGAAGACAGGAAGTGATTCTTCTATCCTTTTAATACAGCACTTTCTACTGCAAAGTCCGTGTCACTAAAGGGCTTCAGTTCAAATAGATATGGTATCTTTCTGGAACTTAAAAAAATTTGTTTTGAGACAACATCTCAATTTGCAGTTTAGGCTGGCCTTGAAATTACTGTGTGCCCCAGGCTGGCCTTGAACTCACAGCAATCCTCCTGCCTCAGCCTCCTGAGTGATGGGATGACAGGCATGTGCCACGCTCAGATTGGGAACATTTCATTTGTATGTAGAGCAGTTTAGACTTTGTTCAAAGGCCCTTTCCACGAGAGACCCCTGTGAATCCAGCAGAAAGTCTTGCGGAGCTGTAAGGAGAAGCCCCTGACCCCACGCACACGACTGGAAGTGCGTCCACTCCACGCACCCAGCGAGCCGGCGCCCAGGTGCAGGAGGGCGCACTCTGCCTGCAGACCTGAGCTCTTCCTGCCCGCCTGGTGCCAGCTGCAGCTGGGGTCCCTCAGGGCGGAGCTGCCCGTTCAGAGGGGACATGTCACCCAGACTTGCAGTTGCCCCCGAAACTCATCTCCTGTGGGAGACAGAGAAGCCAGCACCAGAAAGAACCCACATTTCATTCTTGGGGACGCAGAGCTGCTCCGGTCTGACAGGGGATTGCCGGTTCCCCCTCCAGCCCCTGCATTTGGTGCGAGAGTGCGTTGCAGGATTAGGTGCCTTGGTGGCCGTTCTCCAGGAAGCCCCTGGAAAGGAAAGGACGCATCCCGGCCCGTCCTCCCGGCCCTTCTCGGGCTGGGATCGCCTGCCCTGGAGAGACAGCGGAGAACAGGTTACCTTTCCAGTTTCATTTCCTCGCCCAGGGGCTGTCTCCTGCCCGGATGGAGAGGAGAGCGGAGGAGACATCAGCCCCAGCCTCCCAGCTGTGTTCCCCCGAGCGAGCGCTGGGCGGCCTCTCAGAGCTCCTCCCTCCTGTGGAAGCGACATCTTTCTGTGTGTACCTGGAGGATTAGGAGAGATGACAGGGGTAGATAACGGCATCTCTGGTGATAATCATCAGCAAGAGGATCGAGGAGCAGCACCGCACCCAGTGACGGACCCACAGCCCCAGCACACCAGGATGAAGCTGGGGTCCGTCGGGGCTGCGTGCTGGGAGCTGGGCGAGGTCTGACCTAGTCCACCTGGAGCACAGCGGCTCTGCGCGCCACCCACACCCGACTCCGCTCCTTCTCCGCACCCTGGCTGGCAGTGCCCCCAGGGGGAGATTCCAGCACCTAAGATCAGAGTGTGCAGAACTTTCACCTTTGTTTGGCTTTGCTTCCTGACAACAGGGCTGGGGATGTAGCTCAGGGTGAAGACGCTGGGCACTGGGGACCCCTGCATTCAGGCTCCAGTCCCCTGCCCCGTGTATGCTGCAGGACTGAGAAATAAATGCGCTAAGAGACAGAAGTAGGAGAGAGAGCGGGGCCAGGAGGGCCAGTGCTGGGGCAACCGACAAAGGCGCTGGCCAGTCCCAGGCGCTGACTTTTATTGGCAATCGGTTAGGGTAAAGGAGATGTGTGGTTTCTATGGAGATTAATGTAAATGCAGCTCAGAAAGGACAAGACAAAGCCTTCCTGAATCAGGAACAGAACGGAGAGAATATGCGGTTGTAATTAGAACGCCGTCCTTCAGTCTGGAGGTTGTCGTTGTGAACGGAATCTAGGTGCGAGTTCCTCTGACCTCGGCACGTAGGCTTCGGCCGGACTCACTTCTGTAAACAGCCAGTTGTGGGGCTCCCTCTTCACTGCTGCTTTGGGCATGATCGATACTACAGTCCTTTGCACATGGGTTCAATCCCCAGTACTTATTTTTTTAAAAAGGAAAAAAAAATTCACCACGTAAGGCAGAGGAAAGTGATGCCTGACCCGGTCTACCTCAAGATCACAGGTTGAAAGTTCAAGGCCAACCTGGGCCACCCAGTGGGACCCTGACTCAATAAAGTAAAAACATTTATAAAGGGGGCTGAGGGTGTAGCTCAGTGGTGGAACAACTGCCGACTTTGGGGGAAGCCCTGGGTTAAATCCTTAGCACAGCCAAAAAAGAAAAAAAAAAAGTCACCAAAGTACCAAGGCAGGCGTGGAAGGGGAAAGAGGAAACCGTGAAGTCAGTGTGGTCAGTTCTTGGTTTTTAACCCCAGCGCAGCAATTAAAGCCTTGCAGCCGGGTCTGTGTGTGAGGAGCCGGCGTCAGACACAGCTAAGCCTGGTCTGCGGGAGAAAGCGTCTCTGAGGATCGCCGATCACCAGGTCCCGGTGACGCAGTGCTCCCAGGAAGCCACCTCACCCCCGGGCCTATCCTGGACTTAGGCCACGGTAGCAACTTACACTAACGACTGTAAGTACTACAGCTACTCGTCCATTGAAAATAAAATTGAGGTAGGCATGGTGGCACATGCTTGTTATCCAGAACTCTGGGAGACTGAAACAGGAAGACTGTGAGTTTGAGCCCACCCTAGGCAACTTAGTGACTCAGGGAGACCTAATTTTTACTTCACTTGATCTTAGCCAAAAGACTGGGAATCAATTCCTAATTTTTAAAAAAGGGCTGGGACTATAGCTCAGTGCAAAGGTCCTGGGGTCAATGTCCAGTACTGCAAATGAATAAATATTTTTTTAAAAAACTCAAAAAAACGTGCTCATTTGCAAAATCATCGCAGTTGACCCTCTCTGTAGGAATTTGACTACTATTTTGTAAGATCTCAATCTTACAAGGCCAAGGAATCAACACCCACTTTTTTCTCCCTTTGTTGGCCAGAACTGTCAGCCTGTAGTATTTAGAACATTGTGTTCCAGTTCTGACATTCTTGCCTCTGTTTGGAACTTCCAGTGCCAACTCCGTCTGTCTCCGCCCGCTTCCTGGAAGGCACCTCATGCACATGTGCAGGTGACAGAAGAACATCTGTGGCCAGGCACTCGTCCCTGCTCCTGCCCGGCTCCAGTCCTTGGACACAGCGGTGGGGTTTGCGCAGCACAGGCGAGTGTCCAGAAGCGCAGCCGCAGTGGCGGCCCTGTCATGTGACAGGAGTTGCATCCGGAAACTGAAAGGGGCGAAGGTGTTGTGGGGCTGGGAGGAGCTGCAGATCTCCGAGCTTTCCCTGCAGAGTCATCTTAGTCTGCAGCAGACGTGTGGACCTGAGCTTGGTGGCCTGTGTCAGGACAAAGTGCCTGCCACACACAGCTGAAGGAGGAAGCATTTCTTCGGGCTCCCTGCCCCGGGGGTGTCAGTCCGTGGTGGCTCCAAGGCCCAGACATGGCCGTGGGGGAGGTGAGGAAGCTGCTGGACTCATGGCGGCTGGGAAGAGGGCCCGAGGGAGCAACATTCCCGAAAGGTTCCTGCAGGGACCCTCCAGGGGCTGGGCCCCACCTCCGAGCCTCCCGGCCGGCTGTGCCTCGTCAGCGGGCGGACGTATGGGAGAGGTTTGCCCCTCGTGATCCATTTGACCTGCCAAAGTGCCCCGTCTGAACCCATGCTTCTTTGGGGGACATTTGAGGTCAAGCCCTAAAGCTTTACTGCAGCAGGTGGCACGGAGGACTTGGGATGACCCACCTTTCCATCCCTTGGGCCCTCTTGTCCGCTTCACGACGAGTGGTGGGACACAGAATTCTTGGTGAAGACACTACAGACTCAGGACAGACCTGCTGGCCATCTGGGCTCTGAGTCTTCTCACACCTTCCTTTCTGTTAGCACTTTTGTTCCCTCCACACAGGCGCGCACCGCTGTGCCCTGAGCAGCCCACACGTTGACGGCAGCCAGCCTGTTCATTCAAGTGCACCTCTCCAGTGGTGTGGCGCCAGCTGACCAGCACGGGAGCCGCCGAGGATGTCCCAGGTAGTCACTTGGTCCCGTCCTGCCTGGTGTAGGGTTTGCGGTCTCACCAGCAGTCTCTGCTTAGAGCTCTGGGAGTCCTTACGCAGTCCAGTGAAATGGCCTCAGAGTCATCAGAAACCCATCCTGTCGGAGGCCCCTTGCAAACGAGACACTTCCAACCAGAGTCAGTGATCCTCAGCCATCCAATGACAGCACTGGCCACAACTGCAGAGCTCCAGGGAGTTCGTTGCAGTAGGGCACCCGGACAAGGAGTCTGGTGTGCTGGACTCATGTCTGTCTTGGGTCCATCAGATCGCCCCCTCTCTGAGGGTCCAGGAAGTGCGACATCAACAGCACCGCACACCGTGAGACTTTCGGGGGACATTTCAGATGTCGGCCGCAGCTCACCCAGATACTACATGCGGTTCCGTTGCTGTCTGATCCAGTCAGCGACCTGAGGCCTCTCCAGGACCTGAGCCCTACTGAGTTTGTTCAAGCCAGGCCTGCCACGCACGCCTGTAATCCCAGCGCTCAGGAGGCAGATGCAGGAGGATCTCCGGAAGTTTGAGCCCAACCTGGGCTCCATAGTTCAAGGCCAGCCTGAACTTCATAGTGAGACCCTGATAAAAACAAAACAAAACAAAACAAAAAGATTTGTTCAACAAACTTCAAAACACATCCGTGGTGCTTCAGTTTCAGAACTGACAGCCCCCAGCTCCTCCACAGCCATGGATTTTTGGTCCCCAGAGAATGGGCAATGGCCGAATACGCTTTTCCTGACCTGAGACTCCATTCACCTGGGAGGGAGGGAAAGGGGGTGTCCGGCCTGGGGCCTTTAGGAAGGAGCTGCGACCTTTCCGAGGGAAGCTGGTACACTGCTCTTCGGACAGCGCCAGTGTCTCCCCGAGAGAAGGGAGAGACTCCCTGCAGCCACCTCGGGTTTCTTCCAGCCCCACCACAGGGTCGCACAACAAAGCTTTGCACCTGCAGCGTGCTGCACGGGGAGAGCGGGCGTCACTGACCTCAACGTGGGGGAGAAACAGTCCCCAGAGCTCGGTTCGTTCCCACAAGCAGGATCACGTCCAAAGGGTCCAGAGAACTTGCGTCTTCGAGCATAACCTAGCACCAGGGTCGTTACCAGCAGAAAGCATCCGCACTGCGACCAAACCGCACAAGCACAGAAATCTGAAATGTGTAACCAAACCCTCAATATGTTGACAGAATTGCCACGGAACTGAGGCGAGGATTTAAAAGCACTTTGTAAGTGGGAAAATGCCAAACAAATGCCGGTTATTAATGGAATGAAGGAAGGTTTATTCGTTTTGACTTTTTACGTTCATGCTGAAATACCAGCCAGCTTCCAAACCCACGACAGTATTTATCGGTGCCATCTGCCGGAGTTCCTGAAAAATTGATGAGGTTCAGGGCAGCAGGATGACAAATGGCGCTGCGCATGGCCTTTTAAGTGCATGTGCTGTTTACCTGGTGAATTCTGCAGGTAGAGTTACTGGTGTGCATTTTCATATTGAAACTCACCGGGCAAAGCCCTCGGCCGAGGGACGCGTTGAGTTAGCTCCGGGGCTGTAGCATCTTTTCATTCCAACGCACTGAGCTCTCGCTGTCCGAGGGGACCTGTGCTATGAACCAGGTGTGCAAGGCGGTGTGAACACTGCCCGGCTCCGGGTCCTCTGTGCAGTGGGGGAGACCGAAGCACCATGACAACCGAGCGGAGCGCACTGGAGCAGACTTCGGCTCCAAGGAGAAACCGAGGGCTCCGGATCCAGTGGGTGTGGCCTCTCCACACCGGTGGGATTGGCCACTTCTGCACACGGGGAGAGGGACAGTCACTGAAGAGCAGCCAGTGTGAGGAAGTGAAGCAGGCAGGCAGGTTGAGCAGGAAAAAGGAAAACCAGGCTTCTTCCAACCCTGGGAACCCTCTGTTCAGCGCGTCAGGTTTCAGTCAGTCCGGGCTTCTACTAAGTGCCCCGGGGATTTAAAAATACAGTATTGTGTGAATTGTTTTCCTGTCACTGGGACATAATACCTGACTTCCACAAGTTAAAGGAGCAGAGGTTTATTTTGGGTCATAACCTCAGCAGAGGTTTCAGTCCCTAGCTTGCTGGCTTCAAGGCGGGTGGCACCGCAGAGGACAAACAGCCCAAGGTATGGCAGGCAGGAGGCAGGGCAGCCATCAGGGAGGAGGAGGAGGAGGGACATAAGCCCTCTGGCCACGCTTACCATGACCCACCTCCTCCCACTGGGCTTCCCCTCCCAGCATCACACCCAGCTACAAACTCAGCAGTGGACTAAGCCAGCATCACACACCCGCAGTCCAGCCCCTGAGGCTCCACCTCTGACTGCATGAGGCTTTGGGGACCTCTAGATGTAACCCACAGCAAGTACATATGCCCACCTCCCTCACCTCCCTCGGTTCAGCAGCTGCACTGCAACACGATCCAGCCTTCCACAGGACTGAGGACGTTGGGCCCATCAACGGCCCTATCCTGGGACTCATGGGGACGCACAATCCCCGTCACCTTTACATCAGTGTTTCCCAGGCATCCGTGCATCAAAATCACCCGAAAGCTGCTTGAAACAGGCTGCTGAGTCCAGCGGTTCTCATTCAGAAGGTCCTTGGGCCTGGGCACACTGGCAATCCCAGCACTCGGGAGGCCCAGGTAGGAGGATTGAATGAGCCCAGCCTGGGTAATTTAGGGACTCAGAGAGAGCCTGTCTCAGAAGAAAGAAAGAAAGAAAGGAGGGAGGGAGAGAGAGCCACACAAGGTCAGGTTGTGGCTCAATGCCAAGGCCTTGGTTAAATCTCCAGTAAGAGAGAGAGAGAGAGAGAGAGGAGATCTCAACAGAGAAATCACTGTAAACACTGGTATCTCGCTTCCACATTTCCATTTTTTTTTTTTTTTTTGTATCGGACATCAAACTCGGGTCCCTGCACTTGCGAGGCAGGCAGCAGAACCACTGAGCTAAATCCCCGGCCCTCCACATTTCCTTTGATGTGTGCATCTGCACACACGTGTACATATAACTGAAATCACACTGTGTATGCAATTTTTGCATTTGACATTGTTTTTTGGCATTGCAGCTTTCATATTATTTAAAACTTTGCCAATGCAGAGCATGCCAGAGCCCGGGACAGCTGGACAGGCAGAGTGTGGCAGACTTCAGCAGGCGCAGAGCCTGTCGGCTGGGCCCATCTGCAGCCCAGCTGGTCAGGGCGCTTGGCTGGCTCTGGGCCGTGACTGTCCAGTCCTGCCCAGCTCCCAGGCTGGACATGGAGAGCCCGCAGGAGGGTCCACGGTGGTGGTGGTGGGGTCGTGAGGAGTTTGGGTGGACTGTGGGTGGGTGGTCAGGCCGCATGGCCAGAGGGTGGCCCCACAGATGACTCTGTCCCCCCACATTGAGTGTGGTGCCTTAGGTCCCCCTAGGCAGCGCTGCTCCAGCAGCCGTGTGTCCTGAGCAGCCACAGGGCGTGGGCTGCCTGTGTGCCCTTCACGTGGGCCCATCTTGCAGGCCACAGGGGCTTCTGCTTCTCCAGGGCACTGCAGCTGCCCTCACAGTGGCCCTGGGGGTGCGCAGTGCCCAGCGTGGCGGTGCCCAGTGTGGCGGCACCAATCTGGGCAGAGCTTTGGGAACCCGGGGGGCTCCATGCAGCTGTCTGCAGCTCACATGCTAAGAAATCTGGCAGGTTTTCTTTATTTTCCCGTTGTCCTATGCCCTTTAAGCAATTTTTAAAGAGTACAAGTGAACTTTAAAAATATTTTTACAGATGTTCTGCTGTTTTGCTGGTTATCCGGGGAGCTCCTTCCCCCGTGGTTTCAGAATCCTTGGCTTTGTCCTTCCACCGTCAGTGGTGGTGAGAGCAGGGCAGCAAGGAGGCTGTTGTGGCCACGCATTTTCCCTTTGTGGGAAGGTTCTCTTCAGCAAACACAGGAAAGATCCCATTCTGAGGCCTTCCCAGCCTTTGCCGCCATTAACCATTGCTGAGTGGCATTGCCATGAATGTGTTAAGTATGATGCATGTAGCTTATCATTCTTGTTGGGGCTGAGAGCAGTTGATTAATCATGGAATTAGCCTAATTAACTTTTTAGCATTCCTAAGAAATCAGATTTAATTTCTGGCAGATAAAAATTTATCATGAGAACCAGGCATGGTGGTGCACATGCCAGCACCCATGGAGGCTGAAACAAGAGGATCTCTGTGCTTTTGAGGCCAGCTGGAGCTACATACTGAGTTCAAGGCCAGCCTGAACAACATGATGAGAACTTGTCCCAAATAAATAAGATAAGAATAAAATTTAAGAGAAGACCTATGACATTTAAAATTTTTAAAAAATTATGTAAGCTGGGCCAGGGATTTAGCTCAGTGGTTCTGCCACCTGCCTTGCAAGCACAAGGTCCTGAGTTTAATCCCCAGTGCCACAAAAATAAAACCAAAAACAAAATAAATAAAATTATGTAAGCCATAGATGTTTGCTATGGAAGAAAACAGAGGCATATCTTTTCTTCCCAAAGTACTGTGGCTGCCTGGGCAGCTATGCCGTCAATAATGACTCCAGCTTCAGGGCAGGTGTAGCTCGGTGGTTCAGCACTTTCCTAACATGCATGGGGCTGGACTGGATCCAGGCTGCCTTGCATATCGCTCTGCTGGGGTCCAGTAAAGCACCACTGTTCTTCACTTCTTGTGGCTGTCCACGGCTTACAGGCTAAGAACTTGGAGCCACAGTTGAGTCAGAAATACCCACAGTGTTTCAGAGAGGGGATTCAGTAAAAAGAATACAGTGGACCCTTGACTTAGGAACTCAATTCATTCACGAAGACTGGTTGTAACTCAAGCTGGTCAGTTGTCTTCAGAGTCTTTCTCCTGTATAATTTTAGGCCACACTGTCTTCCAGGCAGATCTCAGGGTCCTTAGAGAGACACCGGCCCAGGACTTCTCAGTGAGCCCCACACAGGAGAGAATGTTGTCTTGTCCCTTCCAGAGCTCTTCAAGGGTTAAATCTGTAACTGATTCCATCTGGAAGCAGAAGCGGCCAGCATTCGGATCGTAACTGAAGACTTTGATCGTAAGTTAGAACTAAAATTCTGTGTTAGCCCAAGTTGCTCCTATGTTAGGCCGGTGCAAGGGTCTATGGCAGTCAGAAACCTGCTAGGAGGGCAGGAGAAGCAGAGTAACTGGGGAATCTGCAGAGAGACGGAGAGGTGATGTCTGCAGGCTTGTGTCACCGTGGCAGCTGTCACCCTCAGGTGTGACCACAGCGCAGGGAGACCACAGCCTCTCTGCAGTCTGAAGCTCTGCCCTCGGGCCCCGGAGTTTCCTGAAAGGAAAGGTGGTTTGCAGACCCAGGACCCAGGCCTGTGCGGCAGAGTCCTCTGCCATGACGGAAACAGCCTGTCACCTGTGCCAAGGACACACGGCCACTGGTGTCACGCGACTGCTGCGTGCCAGAGCTGGGGCTGGTGGCCTGGGCAACCAAGCTGACATTTCTCAGGATTTGACTTTAGTTTCACCGTGGTTTCCATACCGGACAGCACAGAGCAGCTGCTGAAAGGCA